TTTATTACAATTCTAGGGACTGTGTCCCTGAATGCAATTTGGCTGTGAAATATTGACATTTTGCATTGCTTTGCGACACACTTCATATTGTTGTTGCAATTTATGATGATAATTTTATATACTGGTAAACATTATTACAATGTTTTTCAAATAAGTTGGCATCTAATGTAAACAAAAGAACTTGTCATTTTGCCTTCTGAATTTGTCTAATTTAAATGTAAACTGAACGTGAGCCAAAGTGTAATCTGTTACTGGCCATCCAGTGGTCAGTAATAGACATTTTAACTAGGGTTTCTTTCCCGGGATTTCCGCCATTTATTCCCTACGAGAAAAATCCCAGGAAAATTTATTTTCCCGGGAAATCTTGCATTTCAATAATAATTTATCATGTCAGGTTTTCTTTCTATTATTTCTTATACGAAAAGTTGCATCTTGAAGACTCACCTAAGAGAGAAATTTTGAGGTTTCATGCTGCATATTACTACGTATGTTTTACAAGTCTCTACTTGTTAGTTCATGTAATATCTATGTATTGTGTTTGCGCATCATTGAACAGCAGAGACTCGCTGAAAGTAAATATCACTCATCGCACTTTAGTTTATTTTTTTATTTCATCTTTAGAAATAAAATAGTATTTTTTTTCATAATCATTAAAACTCCCAATGAAACGCTTTATTTTACTTTCATCTTATAATGTAGGAGAACATAAATTAATTGAGCCTAACGTGTTCGTATGAGTAAGATTGGCCCTACACTTTTAGTTACTTACTAGAAAATAAATTAAATTATTCAAATTTATGATATTCCTGTATGATCTTTTTTATTCATATAAAATCCTATTTTACTATCTCATCCCGGAATTTCCCGGGATACCGGGAAAAGAAATTATTTTTCCCGTAATCCTGCTGGAGGCAAATTTCCCGGGAAATGAGAAACCCTAATTTTAACAGAGAAACTCTTGAAAAAAATGAGATAGGAAGTATCAAAGATTGTTATGTATTTACTATATAACAATTTTTGATAACAACAGTCTTTATCTTACAAATTTTTATTTATCTATCTGTTTTTTAAATTTTTATCTATTAACAATTAAAGACTGGCAAACAGTATAATTTGTATTTTTACAGTATTTTTAGAACATAAAGTTTTGACCATCAGGATCAGCAATTGACTGCTATGAAAATATTTAATGTTTGATATATTTTACGTTGAAACTCTTTTGAAATTTTATTGATATTTAGAAGTATTAATTGTCAAATTAGCATTGCTTAAAATTATTTTAAATCTTGAGAGTTAGAAAGTATGATTTTGTTTAATGTAATGAGTATAGATTAAAGAATCAATTAGATTGCTTTGGCTGATTGTTATTAAACTTATTTGATTATCAGTTTGTTTAACTTAAGTGCCAACTTATTTGAAACAGACTATAATTTTATATAAAACTTATTAATAAACATTATTGATCACAAATGGACTTCTGGGTAGAAGTCCATGTTGGTGAGTAAACAGCATTTTGCATTAGCCCTCTCTGCTTGTTCTTTGTGTTGAGAGACTGCTCGAAAATGCTAAATTTTTGCAGTGCATACAATTATTCTAACCATTCCAATAAACCAGAATATAAAAATATTTCATTTCATTGGTTTCTGCTTAATAGAAAACATATCTATAAAGAGTTAATTATCAAAATGGAAAGAAAAACTTTCCATTCTACTATAAGTTATATTATTAGTTTTTTCCTTACATTTTAGAGATATAATTTTAAGAGGAAAATATTATGAATAAGAACAAATTAAAAAATTATTAAATTCTAATGAAATTTATAGTTTAAGTGAACTCTAAAGAGTTAACTTTTAAATGCAGGTTATAGCTTGTTTCAGTAAGAATATTTCAAAAGAAAATTTCTAAGAATGATATTAAACATGGTGTCCCAAATTTAATTTGACATTTCCCAACTGGCTAAGCAAAAACTATTCATCATAAAATCATGAAAGTTTGGAAATGCCTTAATTAGATGATGGGAATTTTTCTAGATTAAAAAAAGTTAGTTTCAAAAACCACCAACCAGTAGAGGGTGCTTTTCAAGCTGAAGTAGTGGCATATTGGCCTGCAAGATCCCCAGACTTGAATCTATGCAATTTTTGGGTCTGGGGCTATCTCAAATACTTGGTCTACCGTGATCCCATAACATCATTGTCAGACCTTAATTAAGGACAACATAGCATGCCACGTGCCTAACATTCCAAGGCATACACTGCATACAACTGTTAAACATGCTGTTTTACACTTTCAAATGGTAGCAGACAATGGTGGCCATATGTTTTGAACATCTTTTGTTCACATTGGACAGATAACTTGTGTAGCTCATTGTTATGTTCTGTATAAAGCTATAATACATCCTCTAGTAACTAACTATATTTGCTCTAGAAAAAATTTCCATCATCTCATTAAGACATTCCCAAACTTTAATGACTTTCTGATGAATAGTTTTTGCTGTAGCCAGATGGAAAATGTCAAGTTTAATTTGGGAAACCTTGCACAGTACATTAGAATTTAAAAATTAATTCAATATTATAATATTTTTGAAATATGTAATATATTACTTTACTTATAGATTTTTCCTTTGACTCTCATGTAATTTTTTTTGTTGCTGTAATCTTTTAAAAAAATGTTCCAAATGTGTGTTTGCATATTGTAGGCAATGAACCAGCAGGACATTTGAATATCGTTAAACAATCTCAATATTAGAATTATAAATTAACATTAGCATTATTGAAAATAAAATGTGTTAATATAAATAGTGTTTTTAAATATCTAATACTAGCAGACCCTACCAGGCGTTGTTGTGGCTCAAAATGTATCTATTGTAAATGTATAACACTTCCTGCATGGGGGGATTTTTCGAAAAATCCCTTCTTAGTGTACATTCTCTTGACGTTGCCTATTAAAACGCAATCAAAAATGAAAAAAACCACATCTAAAATAGTATAAATAGAAGCAGAGTTATTCACGGTAAGCCTTAATCCTGTCCATCTCCCCCCAGTGGAGAGAATTTCAACATGTATATTATATAAAAACACATGCATATTTGAATGCAACGTTGTGTCAAAATTTCAAAGGAATCGGTAGGAACAAACAAACATTACATTTTATTTATATAGATAGATAGAAGATGATCTGCTTAAGTTCATCCTCACAGAAAAGCAAACTTAGGTCGTCATACTCACAGAGTTAGTGCCATCTGTTGGACATAAAAGCCTTAATCCTAGATGATATCTTTTAATTTATATGAATGTTTAACAGAATAATATACAGCCTATGTCCACCCTGAAGTTCCATTCTAAATATTGGTGAAAGAATTTTTGAAATCGGATGAGTAGTTTCAGAGATTACCTCCTACATCCAAACTTACAAACTTTACTTCTTTATAATATCAGTATAGATATACCAGCATATACATATTTAACATTATAACTTTGGTTACTCTAGTGAAAACCATATATTCAAAATTTATTGTTATTATTATTATTATTATTTATTAAAAATATATATATTTAAAAATAATAGAAATCTTGGATTGTTTTTATTTATGGTTAATAAAAAAAAACTAAATTATTTGTATGTTGGATATATAAGAATTTGGCAAACAAACTTCAATATTACTTTATTATCCATAGAATTATAGCTGTTACGTTATATATTTTATTTTCCATTTCTGCTAGTATTTTACTATATATTCTAAAGAGTAGTTTGTTTCACATACTTTATACTTGTAAGTTATATTCTTCCAACATAATAAGATCATTAATAAATTTTTCTGTAGAAATTATTGCTTCTTTTAATTTAATGTTATATTTGAAGATCCACAAATTTGCCATTTTTATTATTTTCATATGCCCACCAGTGGCCAAGCGGTCTTTGTACCCAGAACATTGGGAGTTTGGTCGTGGGTTTGCGTCTCGCTTGGATGTGGAGTTTTCCAGTTTTCTCCACATCTGTAACACCTAAATAGGGGCCAGTTTCCCTTAAAGAGACCTTCCAGAAGGCATCCACCCTAGGCAGATCGCCCAAGTGTTGCGTTGCCTTAACAAACAAACGAACTCATTTAAAATCGTTTAAAATTGGTTCAGGTACATGTTGATTTCATCCTGGTGTTCTGTGAATGTGGAAGTTTACCAAGTAGTGGTGCTGGCTAGTAATTACCGTAAAACACTCGTAGCCCTAACTAGGGCCAGAGCTCGATTGCAATTCCTGACGGAATGTAAGAAGAATGGAATACTACCCATGTCCTTTAATTGCATTCGCTTCCCTCTAGGTAGTGAGCTGTCTACCTGCATCGAATGCGCATGTCCAATCCTACAACAAACAACATTATTATTTTCAGTCAGACTGCAAACATACTTTAAAATATTTATTTGAGTAAAATCTATTAACATTAATGATGATTTGAATAGCAATACAACCATTATGTTGGTTGTATTTACCCACCAACATATGACAGTGACATCATATGGATAAAGATCTATTATGTAATTATAAATAATATTTTTAAAATTTAATAAATAATAATCAAAGATAAGACAAAAGAAAATCATAAAAGTTTGCAAAACTTGGTACCATTAAAATAATAATAATGATGAGGATAATGAAACAAATAAATTGCTAAAGTTGAGGTTATTTAAGTATCTAATTAGAAACGTTTTTGACTTAATATAGATTATCTTCAGCTAACAGAATGTTATGAACAGAATAGCATTGTTTTGCATTTAAAAATTACAAATTTAGTAAAAAATGGAAATGAAAAAATCAGCATGATAATATGTAAAATCCAAGATTTTATATAATATTACTGTCAGTCAGTCAGTGAGACAACATAGAATTATTATATAAAATTCTGAAAGTTGTAAAAATGATTTATTGTTTAATTATAATTAATTTAAATTATTGTATTTTTTTTAACAATAAAATAATAATAATTAAATTTTTTACATTAACTAATATTTATATTTATATTTGTAAAACAGGAAGAACCATTGCCATTTTCTTCTAGTCCTCCATCTGTTTTAATAGCCAAAAGTAAGATTTTTTAAAATAATTTAATAAATAACATGTTTTCAAATTATTGTTTTGAAAATTTAAAATTATTTTTGTTTAAATATATGTAAATTTCTATTTGAAAAATTTTTATTATTTACTATTTACCATTTGATATCACAATTTATTGTAATAAAGTTTCTTAAATTTTTATGAAAGCATTTTACAGAATTCTTGTACAATTTTTTTCTTTTTGTGATGATTTTAAATTTGATGTTAATTTATATATATTAAGTACAGTATGGTAAATCTGAGATATGCATTTTCAGAATTTTTAAAATTATCAAATACAATATATATTATCTTAGTTATTTATTTTTTTACTATAAATGTTTATAAAAAAAATAATTATTAATTTTGATAATCTATTATTGTAATGTAAACAGTTCAATAGTTACAATTGAATACAGTAATACCCCGACTTACGCTACCCCGACTTACGCGAACCCGGAGTTACGTGATTTTCAAATCTCATCGATTCGTCTTTTGTTTGAGCGCCAGGCAACCCTTGATTACTCACTCCCCCCACACTATTGTTCAGCTTACATGTTCGGATGTGTTGCGCGGAATCCACACATAGCTACAATTTATTTTGTGTTATTTATTTCTGTGTTTGTTATATCTACGGAGACTCGAGAGACTCTACTATGTCATCCAAACGAAGTAGAACTAATTCTTCTGCATCAAACAAGAAAAGAAAAACTTTATCTTTGGAATGTAAAGTTAACATTGGGTATGTTCGTAAAGTCGAACGAGTTAAGCGAGAATGAAGTCATCGTTATTCCTATTTCGTTAGACTTTTCGAACGATTCGTTACTAACGCGTTTAACTCGTTTGACTTTACGAACGTACCCATTATTAAAGACTTCGATACAAAAATGAAAATTTGTGAATTGGCAAAGAAGTTTGATCTACCGGAATTGTCGGTCAGAACAATTATAAAAGGCAAAGAAAAAATTCTCGAAGCTGTGAAAAATGCTCAATCTTTAAATTCAAGCATCATTCGTAAACGTCACAGTATTATCGCTGAGATGGAAACAATGTTAAAATTATGGCGTAATAATCAAGTAAATGTGAAAAATTGTAAAATAATATAGGCCTAATTTGTTATACATATGTATTATCTAAGATTTTATTAAACATTTTTTTCTAAATTATTGTTTTCTTTAGTCTCCGGCCCCAATTAAAAATTATTTGTATGTATTTATATGCAAAATTATACCCTGACTTACGCGAATTTGACTTACGCGGTTATCGCTTGGTCCCACCTATCGCCTAAGTTCGGGGTATTACTGTATTCAAAAATAATACAGAAAAAAGTTAAGTCAGAAGAATAAATGGCATATAAAAATTCAAAAAGTATGTTTGATATGGTTTCAATTCACATAAATTTTATTTTTATTCACTATATTATTATTTTCTCAGATTATTATTTTCTCAGATTTGTAATAGTAATTTTATTCACTTTTTAAAACATTTCTTTTAGGTTCTGCTAAATGTTAGTCATTTTTGGCAAGTATTTTTAAAAAGTTTATGTTTACTGCTATAAAATATATTCAGACTTTATGGTTTTCCTTGGAATAGCATGTTTTTCTGACATATATTAAAAATCCTGATACATATCTTTATACATTTTCTTAGTCATACAACTTTAAAGTGTTATCACAAAATGTAATTTAAGAGTATATTCATATTTGTTACTAATTAATATATGTATAACTAATAAATAATTCAGTGAACTATCAGAATATATATACTTCATATAATTTACTGTTTTATTTTAATAGTTATAAGTAATATATAAAAACAAATAATGCATATGTGTGTAATAACAATAAAGTATTAGTGATAGAAATCTAACATTTTCAAAAAATTTAAATAAAAGAAATTAGATTGTTTGATGTTGCTTATCATACTATAATGAAATTCAAATCTTAATCCTAAAGATATGATTCAATGAAGTTAATGGAAACACTTGGTTATTAATCAAATTTTGTGTTGCTTTAAAGTGTAAATGCCTGAAGACAGTTCAAGTTAATGCTTCAAATCTTAATCTTAAGTTCAATTTTATTTGAAATATAAATTTTTATTAGTACTGTTGTTTTATTCTTTTAATGATTTTATTCATCCAATAATCTTTTTTAGAAAAAATACATTTTCTATGCAATGTTTTGAAATTGAATGAAAGAATTTCTAAATTGAAAAATTACTTAAATTTGAAATGCTATAAAAACTATAAACATTCTTCATGATAAAATTTTATTAAATATTGGTATCATGATATTTTTTAATATGATTATATAATTTACTTTTAAATTGTGTGTTTTTATTAAATTTTTATCTTAAAGAATGTTGTTATTATTTTTGTTTAATTTTTTTCAAGTTTTTTGGATAGTATTATTTGTACTATTTAAAATGTAAAGATTTGTGAGACTTCTCAGTTTATTTCTGTAGACTTAAGTTAAGAAAATGTTTTATGAAATAATGAAAATATAGTTAGTAAAAGATGATAAGTAATAATTGGCATACTAATAATTTCTTATAATTAAGAAAAATTTATTAAAATTATTAATATAGTTGTCATTCAGTTATTATTATTTCATTACATTGCTTCAATGAACATGGATAGAAAATTAATATCTTTACAACAGGTACAGTACATGTGTGCGTGATTATGAGTTATATCTTTTGTTATATTTAAAATACATTTTAAATTAATACATTGCAACTGAATTTTTTTAATAACTTATTATATTACTTTATGATTATAAGATTATAATTTTTATATTTCAATAAAAAGTTATAACTTTGAATTGATAAACAGATTTTATTTTTTATAAACAAAATTATATTAATTTTTATAACAAATGTGTAAATTTCAATATAACTTGGTTTGTGACGTTTTAAGGGAGAACACATCAAATTGTATTTAACTTTATGAGTATAATGAACATTTGTTTTGCATATAAAAATTGTATGAAAATTTTCAATTACTGGTTTTTGTATTGATATTTAAAAATTGAAAGACAATTTATGGATACTATTTTAAAATTTTAATTTCAAAACTTAATAACATATTTCAGAATCTTTACAAATAGTAGTTGCAGCTGGTCCATTTACTGCAACTACTAATGAAGGTGCGCTCTCTTATCAACCTCTTTCTGATGTGTTGAATTATGTAAAAGAGTATAAACCACATATTTGCATATTGGTATGTTTATTATTTAATATAAATTATAATGTAAAAATAAGTTATAACATCTTTACAGGCTATTTTTAATATTTATACTGTATAAAAAATAATATTTTTAGTTTGAATGCTTATTTTAAAAGTCTTTAATATATTACCTATTATCAAAGTAAAGAAATATTTTTTATATTTTAACTTTGAAATGACCACTAGCTAATATTATATTAGTTAAATTCAATGTTTTAGATTACTGTTTGTCAAAATAACAAATTCATTTTTATAATACATTATTTGTATTCTTTATTTTCTTAATTAACTGTAACAAATTTAGTTTGATATTAAAAGTAATTACAGGTAAAACAGCAAAGCCATTTTTGGGATGAGACTATGTCTCAGAGAGTGCGAGCAATGCATGCACTTGCACCTGTTTGTAGAAACAGTCTCATCATTTCGTATTTTCTTTTGACCCACTTCTTGACTCCCTGACTACCTACAAATCTGGTTTATTTTATGTGGCATGATTTGGGCATCAAATACTCTGTGCCAAATTGCAACTTCTGACATGTACTCCTTCATACCTCTAAGATGTGCAGCCATTGACAGCAGTCCAATTTTAGAGACAAGACATAGTCTCATCAATAATTAGTTGAAATTTTTTAATTGGTTATATTAGATTAAAAGTAGAATTTATTTTTATGTAAAAAAAAACATGACCAAAATAAGTATTAAGTGTATCTACAAATCTGTTTATATACTGTTTGATACTTCTAATACAATGGGTATATGTGTGTATATATATACATACATCATGTTGAGATTAAACCATAAGTCAGCTGTGCCCATGGATGAAGATCAGACTGAAGTCTTGGTAGCATAACTGGACAGCAAGCAGGAATTATGGGTCTGGGCCAATTATTTTTTCTAGACTGTTCTAAATTAAAAATTTATTTATTTATAATTTAAAAACACACCTGTTCACCAAACTAGTTAGTAAACACAAAAATATTTAATGTAATAAAATTCTCATTCATATCAATCAGACATCCTCAGGTTATATAATCTTATTAAGGAACAGAACTCAGAATTGAAATACAGAATTGAATGAACTTTACATAATTAATAAAATAAAATATTTCCATTACTAAACTTGATAGGGCCAAGATATACAATCAGACTGCCATCAACCTCAGGGAATCTGATAATTTTTCATTAATATAGAGTGCATTGTTTGAACTATTGTAGGATACTTTGTGTATGCTCTCAAGTTTGTTAATTGAAATGTTTTTATTTTATTAATTATGTAAGTCATTTGATTATTTTTCTATTTGTATACGTTCATCATGAATAGTACTTGCCATTATAACTGCCAAAGTTCAGTAGTTTTAAAGTTGAATTTAATGTTTTCTTCTTTAATAGGCTAATCTTATATCAAAAACGTTTATTATATTAAATATTTTTGTGTTTATATAACTGATTTAGTATACTGCTGTGTTTTTAGATAATATATACCAGTTCTTGAGGTGTTTTAATAAATTTAATAATTATAAATAAATTAGAGATACAGCCTAACTGCCACTCTCTAGCCAAATTATACTGCTTCAGATCATTAATTAGTATGAGTACAGGCTGATAAAAAATCTGACAAATTGTTTGGCAAACTTACTTTCAGATTAACATAATTTAATTTAATAAGAAAATCTTATTTAAAAAATAAGTTGAATTGCTATAAAAATGAACCTTAAGTTAAAGAATCCCTCTTGAAATAAATCTGCAGTTTGTCCCAGAAAGTAGAAAAAAATGCAGATAAGCAACTATTTTGTTATGTTTATAGTGTTATAAATTTCAAACATCAAGTATATATATAATATAAATATGTATAAATAATATGTCATAAAATAATGTAATTTTAGAAAAATTACTATAATTTTAAATTATTATTTGTGTAAGGCAGTGTTTTTCAATCTGTGGGTCACAACCCCCCAGGGGGATCGCAAAGCCTTACATGTGGGGGTCGTGAGTAAAAGAAAAAGACAAGTGTTTGTAGGTCCTACACCACAATAAAAAAAACTACAATTTCAGTGAGAAGGCTGTGCCTGTTTATTTTACAGTACAGTTGGTTTTTTTTATCGATATTTAGGCCTCAACAGAAAGAAAATTAAATACGTAGTTTTTAAAATCATTGATATAGTTTTAATATGGCCCTGGGGGTTGCCAGAATTTTTTAACTTGTAAAGCGGTCTCATATTCAAGAAGGTTGAAAAACACTGGTGTAAGGTCTTCAATTAAAAAATATAAATAAAGTTTATTTTCTTGTTTTATCATAAAATTCTTTAAATTAATTATTCTATACTGAAGTTACCACAGGACAATTTTATTTCATATTTAAAAAATATGAAATTTTATTGTGGATATGGCTATATAGAATAATTTATCTAAAAAATTTTGTAATAAAATAAAGCATGAGATGTTTTTTTTTGGATTTATTATTTAAATTATGAAATATCAATAATTGAAATTAATTTCAAATTATTAAAAAATAATTTTTATTTCACATCAGATAATTATTTTCTGCTTGTTGTAAACATGGTGTTTTCTGCTTGTTGTAAACATGAAAGAAAGCAGCTTTAGGAAACAAATAATTGAAAATTGTACTCTTGAACTGTTTTTATGAAAGATCAAATTAGCTATGTAAATGTAATAAATATATTTAACCCAATAGTTATTTCAAATACTAAATGAACAGCCAGATTCTTTATCAGGCTATTAGACTAATTATTATCTTCCTCTTGCCAAATCGCTTAGTAATTATTTAGCCTTATAGCCTGATAAAGAAGCTTGCCATTCATTAGGTATTTCAAATTAGCTACATTTGATAAGATGAATTACCATAGTTTGTAAGAGACAAGTCAACATAACTGATTGGTAAGAAAGTATTGACCTGTATTTGTTATAATCATAACTTATTTAGCATTTTCTCTGAAGTTAAGAATAGTTGCTTTCCCCCTTTTTTTATTTTTTTCAAATTATTTAGATTTATATTATGATTACAAAGTAATTATTTAATATTTTTAATATTAAATTATTTTGTTAAATCGATAACTATAATTTAACAGCTTTTGTGATTTTGTTGTTTATACATTTGTTTTGAAATATATTTTTGTCTTATATAAGTTAAATAATATATTTATTTGAATTCTATATTCAAATGATAATCTTTAGTGTATTATTTTTATTGACTTTATATTTTTCTAAATGTTTAAACTGATTTATTATATATCAAGATTTTTAATAGGTTGGACCATTTGTAGATAGTAAACATGAAATAATTGAGGTATGTTTTTTATTTATCTTTTTATATTTAAAATTATAATGAATAATAATAATGTACTGTATATATATTTACATTCAAAATGCTTCAGAAGATGACAGAAGTAATAGTTTTTATGTTAAACTTAAAACATTCATTCAAAGATATGATATTATAATTTTATTTTTTATTATTATTAAAAGCAGTAACATTTTATTGCTGCATATCTCTTTTGAAATTACAGTGGTCAGTAGTTGAGTAAACATAATTCATATATTAAGAGCAAAAAGATGATTTGAAACAATAAATTTTAAAACAATTTTCATCTGTTCAAGATCAAATTTTGCTGCTAACAAGTGGCAGCTCAGAAGCCAAGATAAGGTTAGACTTCTTTGATTTGTCAATTCTTTTCACTTTTTGCCTTGATTTTAATGCATTTAACATAAATTTCAAACCAATGACAAACATTGGCTCACTGAAACAACTTCTGATCTGAGTAGTTCATTGTTTTGAATTCTTTTACACAATAGAATTGTTTGTGTTATGCACAGAAGTTTTTCTAGTATAATTAAATGTGAACTCTTATATTGTGATTGCTTTATCCTCATTAGCCAATAATCTATTGTTAATTATTCTTTCTGAGACTGTACACCTGATGGGGTCAATTTTGCAATATTTAATTTTGGGAAGTGTGTGATGGAATAGAATAAAAAATATGTTCTAGATAATTGAGTATAGACTTGTAAATTCCAACTGAATAGATTGGTTGTGAGTTGCTTATAGTATTTTGAATACTTTTGGATTCTGTTTGTGAGGCCTAAAGTTTTTGCATCCTGCCATTTCCTTATATATCAATTTTTCTAATTTGTTCAAAAATATCCTGTTACTGTTAGCTATGGAAAAAGTCATTCAATATAAGAAGAAAACTGAGTGGCTTAGCACATTTGATTCTATTGACACATCTGCAGGCTGCAATCCAACTTTAATGCTTACTGATCCAGAATATTTTGAAGTCCATTGGCTGATGGTGTCTGCTTAGTGGTCCCTAAGGTCTTTGACTCTTGATCTGGGCAAGATTAATGTTTGTAAATTTCATTCTTGATATTTGTTCAACTTACAAAACACATAGTTTTTTTTTTTTTTTCATTATAATTTTCCTTCTGAAATGATATCAGTCGTACTGCAAATTAGATTAAACAAATTGAATATATGTTATGAAGGTAAAATAATATTGCTTTATTTTGATATTTGTTTTCTCTGTAAAAAAGATAGTTAATTTTTTCACATAGTATTGAAATATGAAGAAATTCAAGAACTCTGGAAAAGATATTCTACCTGATTCTACCTGATAATCACTGTTATAAAAAACCTGAGTAAAAAAATTTGTATTTAGCTGTATAAGTTTTGTTAAAGTGATTTCCAATAGGATAAATTGACATATACTTTTGGGAAATATACTGGCAGTTTACAGCATTAATTCCTTCATTTATTCACTTATTATTTTAATTTATTACTACTATTGTACAGTAAGATTTTAAAAACAGTTCATATTAATTTGAAATATTCTATACTATGTCTTTTGATTTGATTATGCTTTTTGTTTTTCTGTATGTATGTACGTACATATATACATGGTAGAATCTTGTTTTAATGGATTGCTTGGACCACCAAAAATTATCCATTGTTCTGAAAATTTGTTATTTTGCAAATAATGAATTTCTCATACATCTAAGAAAATATTCATTATTCAAAAAAAAAAATTTTGTTTTTTAACTCCTTAGCATATAAAATATACCTGTACTTGAAATTATTCAGTCTCTTAGTTTTATTTTTTATATTTTATTTATTCTATAGAAACACGTATGTTAAAAAATTGTATATTATGCCATACATGTTTAGAACAAAGCTGACAGAAATTGTATATACTGTAAGCATAAAAAGAGGCAAATTACATATGCTCATTAGCACTTGATTTCACAATTTGTTAAAATCTTGTTCATCTTGTTCATCTTTGGTTTATTTTGATGCCACTTTTCTGCCTATTGAATACGACCATCATTTGATATAGCAATATCATGTATAGCTTGTTTGTTTATGCTGAAACTCATTAATTAAGAAGGTCTTCATGATTTGGAAAGACTTGATGTTCTTGCTAAATTTTGGCACTACACTTGGATCAGCATCAGAATGTTCACCAGGTAGCTTCTCCTCAATTGTATCAACCTGCTGACTCTTTTCGTACAATTCTTTGACTGTACATATTCTAGATGTATCAAGTTCATCATTGAACTCTACAAATTCCTGGAAACATCCAAATATTAACTAAATGTTGAAAAAAAAACACAAAGAAAAACAAAAATCTGTTATTCTGAGTTATGGATCTGCTAAAAACAGGTAAAATTGTATTGATTTAATGGGAGCTGGAAAAAATCCACTATTTCAAGAAATCTGTTGTTTTGTGATCCATTAAAATGAGATTCTACTGTAATTGTTAAAATGCTTTATATACCCTAGATAAAGGAATTACCCTAAGTCAATAAATTTGAGGCCCACCAGTGGCCAAGTGGTTTCGTTCCCTGAACACTGGGAGTTCGGTTATATGTTTACGCCTCACCAGGCTGGCTACATGGAATTTTCTGGGTTTTCTAATGCCTGAATAGGAGCCAGTTACCCTTAAAAAGACTTTCCAGAAGGCATTCCCCTATGCAAATTGCCCAAGTGTTGCATTGCCATAACTTAATAAGCAAACAAGCAAATAAGTTTGATTAATTGACTGATTGACTTCCTTGTTTATCTTGTAAATGGAAGGGAAATTTTTTAATGATTCTTTTGTCTACTATACTTTTTTGTGATCATTTTTTGGTGCTTTGAAGGAATTGATGAGATGCTCTTCAATTGATGCACTGAATTTTAGCATCAGCTAAAATCTGTATGACATGTGCTGTACAATACCACAGAATTATTTCAATCAAATCAAATTTTAATCAAACTCAAATATAAATTGTATCTGGAATGTAGATCAAGAGTGAGTTTTTATCATTTTAAAACTGGAAAAAAACATTAACTAATATTCAGGCCATTACAATAAAATACTTAGCTTAAAATCATCTTGACACTTTTTTCTGTTAAGAAAAAATAGAAATGGCAACACTGGAGAAGCAATGGGTGAACTATTATGAAATTTTTATGAATACTCTATAACGTGAATAAAGAGGCAAAGCCAACGGAATGTGCAAGTGAAGGGCCACTTACAGTGGCCAGGTGAAAAAATAGAAATGTTAGCATCAGGAATTGATGAATAATCATAAAAACTTATTTAAAAGTTATACTGGTACGTAACATTTATAAATAATTTTTTTGCCTTGTTTTTTTTTCCTCTTATATTATTATAGCTTTTCATTTCATAAGTTCATGTGTATCTTGTTTTATTCAATGTTTTATAATCCAAACTTGCCGCATAACTATATAGTTGTTCTATTTTGTACAAGTTTATTGAATCTTCCTCTTTATATATTATTTATTGGATTTTATTCCAATGTATAATTGAATCTCCATCATTTTTAACCTTCTTTTGCATATATTATTCCAATATCCTTCATTTCTACATTTTAGATTCTTTTACTTTAGCTTTTTGTTCTTTGATAACATTTTTTACAGCATTTGATTCAATAATTTTATTATTTCAAAATTTGTCTTTATTTGCATGACCATTTGTATTAAATATTTTCTATTTTTCAATAATGAATATTTGTCAAGAGAGATGCTAAACTTTGATCTTGCTGTTAGCTTTGCAGAAATTTAATTTTTAACAAGTTTAAAGTTTTATACATAACATTTACTACATTATTAGAGTTTGTAGGAAGCAATTATTCTTTACCATATGTTTCTGTTTTATAAAATTGTTTATTATAATTGCATTTACAATTATAAAAGAAAAGAAGTATTCAAAAATTTGTTCTTTCTAGAATACTTCTTTTGTGGAATTACATATTCATAAAGAAATGTTAAAACAGAATCTATCAGCAGCAAGAAGTTTGATAGTTTCTTCTAACTTGTAAGATATCTTTTTCCTTTTTGGCAAAATACACTAATAATGTTTGCATTTGTATATCAATAAGAAACTTCATTATCTTTAATTGCCCTACACATACAGATTCCTTTATCAATTGAGTTAGTCACTTTATTTATAGAGTGTATCTTTTGTAAATGCAAATTAACTCACTTATGATCAGTCTTGGCACAGTAATTTGTAGCTACACTTTTTATATTTTTTGCATGCACTTTATTGGAATTAATAAAATTTTGCTTAACAATAGTTTTAGATTAGAATTGAGGATTCACATCTGAAAGTTAAAATTAGGCAGCAAGCATAATCCACACTATGGATAATAGATGACAATTGGGTCTGTGACTTCAAAGTGTAAATATCATACTACAAGAGTAAATATTGTCATTCTGTATTCAAAAATATACTTCAAACCAACAACTACCTACAATTAACCATTAACCGGTGCGAAATTCTTTAAAATTGGCGAACGTTTTCGATTCCCCTCCTGGGATCTTCTTCAGGCTTACTTCTTTATAGCTTTCGTTATAACCGGATTCTTTAATTCGAACGTTTTTTAAAAATACGTAAAAGAAGATCCCAGGAGGGGAATCGAAAACGTTCGCCGATTTTAAAGAATTTCGCACTGGTTAATGGTTAATTGTAGGTAGTTGTTGGTTTGAAGTATATTTTTGAATACAGAATGACAATATTTACTCTTGTAGTATGATATTTACACTTTGAAGTCACAGACCCAATTGTCATCTATTATCCATAGTGTGGATTATGCTTGCTGCCTAATTTTAACTTTCAGATGTGAATCCTCAATGTCTAATCTAAAACTATTGTTAAGCAAAATTTTATTAATTCCAATAAAGTGCATGCAAAAAATATAAAAAGTGTAGCTACAAATTACTGTGCCAAGACTGATCATAAGTGAGTTAATTTGCATTTACAAAAGATACACTCTATAAATAAA